AATTTAAAAATCGAAATCTAGATAAGTCATTTTTTCTTCAAATAAGTGAATTTTTTCTTGAATTGAGGAGGAAAGTGAGACACTTTGCCAATGGAACGAAAAAAAAATTTACATTTAAAATGAGACAAAAACAATTGAATTGTTTTATTTTTAAGTGCATATGATCAAATTATCTTGTTTTAAGAGTAAAAACACTCATTCCATTGGCAATTTATCTCATTTACCTACTCAAATTAAGGATAAATACACATAATTTAAGAATTTTTTACTTATTTCTAGATCATTTTTCCAGTAAATGAAGAAATGTTTTTTTAAAAGCTAACATGACAAAGAAGACAAAAGTGTCTTCAGTCAGAGACGTCAGAGCCACTGTGAGACAGACCACTACAGGACATTAAAGTTTGATGCGTGATTCATTTAATTTCCCTTTGGGACGAATAAAGTATCTCTGCACTGAAAAAAAATAAAAAAATTGAAATCTAGAGAAGTCATTTTTTCTTAAAATAAGTGCATTTTTTCTTGAATTGAGGAGGAAAGTGAGACACTTTGCCAATGGAACGAAAACATGTACATTTAAAATAAGAGAAAAACAATTGAATTGTTTTATTTTAAGTGCAGATTATCAAATAATCTTATTTTAAGTGTAAAAATACTCATTCCATTGGCAAATTATCTCATTTACCCACTCAAATGAAGGATAAATACACTTAATTTAAGAAATGTTGCCTTATTCCTAGATGGTCTTTGCAGTGTGAGCAGAATCATACATTACAATAGTTGTAAAGGTGGACGGAAAACAGAGCCGCTTTTGTGGCCAGCCTCTCAGAAGCTCCAGACCAGCGTTATTTTTGGAAGCTTTATCTGATTGCAGGTCCTGAGACCCACACGCTCTGACCCCAGGCGCTGCACAGCGCCTCACACACAGCCACGGTTCGAGGACGTAGCTTTCAGGGGGCATCTTTTCTCCACGCAGATAATAACCTGTGCTTTTTGTGCTGCATCCCGTGACCCTATCTATTCATCTGCCTGGATGTTTCACCTTTCCATAAACAACTGTCAACACGGCCTGCTTTACTCTGTTGCTCTGACCGAGCTGACGATGATGAGGAGCTGGGCTTCTTTTTTCCAACAACGGGCAAAAAATAAAACAATGACTTTTAGTTATTAATCATTTATACCAAAATCGTCTAATTCTCCATTACTATAGAAATATGGTTTGTTTCTCACTGCACTGCAAATAATGCAAATCAAACAAGTCCTTTTTTTTTCAGTTTTTCTTAAAATAAGTGTATTTTTTCTTGAATTGAGGAGGAAAGTGTGACACTTTACCCCATGGAATGAGAAAATTAACGGTTAAAATAAGAAAAAACAATTACATTGTCTTATTTCAACTGCATATCATCTAATTATCTTATTTTAAGAGGGAAATACTCATGCCATTGGCAAACTATCTCATATACCTACTCAAATTAAGGGTAAATACACTTAATTTAAGAAAATTTTACTTATTTCTAGATTGTTTTTCCAGTGTGGAGAAAGCTGAAAAAAAGATATAACCCTAATTTAGTTAAGATTAATGGTTTCTTGAGGCAAGAAGCAAAAAAAACAAACAGAAAACAAATTTTCTTTGAGTCCTTTAAATGTTTTCCTACCTCTGTGAAGTTGAAAAGTCTGGAGTTATTTCTTCTCATTCTTTCAGCCGCTCTGTCATGGGAACAGGACAGCTTGGAAGGAAATACCAAAGAGGAGGATACAGGAACCCCATTTAAGATCAGATATGAGAGCGTCTGTGGCACCAATCCGTCTTCTGGCTGTCACTCAACACGTCACGCTTTCCCCCGCCCCCTCAGCTGTCAGCTCGGCCACTGATAAACACCTAACGCTCAGGGGGCCTGTTTTGGCTCAGGGCTTCCACACCGTTGCTTCATCAGGCAGAACAACATGCAGACATGGACTATAACTAATTATTCTGTCAGAAAAACAGTAAGTCTAGATGTCTCAGCTGCAGCCTGCATGAGAGGATTATTTTTCATACGTGTCTATCTGATGGTGAAATCTTGGTTTCATGCAACTGGCCCTTCTGGTTCTTTAAAGCAAGGCAACAGTTATAAATCCTGCTTTAGTTTGGTGTTTTTTCTTTCTACCAAGTCTGAGCTTGGGTCTCTACTGCCGTGTGTACGTGTTAAACATTTCATAAACTGCTGTGAACTTTAATGACCCTGCCTCCTACTGATGCATGCCCTCATGGAGTTAGAGTGTAAAAAGCAAATACTAAACAGAGCAGAACGTCATTTCTAGCTCTCTATTCCATTCTTCTCATCTCTGGGGTCTACGCTCACGTAGAAGATAAATAAATGAGGTTGAAGACTACGGTGGACGTAGAAGAAACTCATAAAAAGAATAGAGACTAAACTACTTACAAAGGAGCAGTAACATTTTAACCACCAACCGTCAGGTTGGGTGGAGGTTTGAAGAGGACCTAAATGCAAAGACTGAAGCTGAAGGTGGTTTTTAGCTGATTTAAATACAAAAAGGGCAAGAGAAGCCAAAAAAATCCACAGAAAACCAAAAAACTCACAGGAAGGGGAAGAAATCATGACAAACCAGCAAACAGTGACTGAGCAGGAGGTGCAATAATGGGAGACAGAAACAAAGACCAGTCTAATTAGCAGATTGGGAGCAGGTGTGGACAGAGTAGGCTAGAAGGGAGCTAGGGGAAAGGAGAATGACACAAGAGGTCAGCAGAGGGCAAATAAGAAATACAAAAGAACTCAAATACAGTCAAAAATAGGGATGGAACGGTTTTTGAAAACCGTCTGAACCGTTCGGTGACTGTCTCGGTTCGGTTCATGCGCTGCTCCTTTTTCTCATAGGCGAAGCGTTTACACTCCAGAGCAGAAGGTGGCGGTACTGCGACCGAAGCCAACCACCAGTAGTAAACAAGAAGAAGAAGAAGCGAAGCAGCGTAGCCGGGTGTAGCAGGGGAAAAAAATCAG